ATGAATTTTTTCAAACATGAATTTATGTTGGCTTTTTAATTTACTAACTATAAATTCTGAGCCTCAGTATCCTCCAATCTGAAATGATAATAATAGCTTAGTTCATAGGTTATGCTTTGTAAATTATAAAGCAGCACACAAAATTATAAATTAGTCCTCTAACTGAATTGTCCAAATCCATTAATTAGTATCATTCCTCTGACCAATTTCTCTAAATCCAAAGATGAGAATGTTTAGGATGAAAACTAAGTGTAGACGTAATCTTAGAACACAAAGCTTTACTTTACACATAGTTATTGTGTATTCAATTTAAATGAATAAATTTTTTAAAATGACGCAGAGAAACGCTAAATCAGTTGATTACAGAAGGAATACATTCTCACTGTTAAAAACAAGGTAGATAAAAACTACAACCATGCTACTATAAAACTGTTTTTTATTTCTTCCAGTCTTTTTTCTACGCATGCTTAACTGGGTTAGATCATTTGTCGAAATAAGAAAATGTTCACTTTACTGTAATAAAGCATTCAATTTACAAGATTCCTCAGATTATTAAAAACGCCTAATAAATGTAATTGTTAATGAAGGCATACCTTGTTGATTCAACTGCTTTAAAAATGAAACTTCAGCATATGAGTTTGCCTAATGAACTCTGCCTGGATTAACTTTTCATTTATTATTTCTATCAATTCTCCAACTAACCAGACCTCTCTCAGGCCATTTACTTGGTTTTGGTTTCCAGAGTTCTGATTTTTTTTTTTTAACTTTCGTTTTAGGTTCAAGGGTACATGTGAAGGTTTGTTACATCAGTGGACTTGTGTCACAGGTATTAAGCCCAGTACCCAACAGTTATATTTTCTGCTTCCAATTTTATTAGGCCCCAAACTCACAAACAAGTGTATAAAGTGCTTTTTGTAATTCCCTGAAGAACAAGTAAAATACCTTAGATTGGGCCTTTAAAATCACACTATTAGAGATTGCAGAGATTCTGAACTACAATTCATTGCTAATGATACTCAATCTTTTTCTACCATACCTTAGTCTGTTACTAGAATTCTTTCTGCAAATAGAGTGAAAACAAAGGAATGCACTCTTAGATTATTCCTGAGAGACTCACTATTGGATAAACCTAACCGCTCCTAATTAATTTTAACTATGACAACCCCTCCCAAGTGCTGAACATTTCAAGCCATCCTTGAGAAGGGTTAGATATCTCTCCCAAAGAAGAACAGATTTCCTGAGTATGTGGAACCATAATTATAGGCAAAAAAGAAAAACATCATTAATATGCTTTTCCCATTGTAGGAACTCAAATATCTGTCATGTTGAGAACAATATCACTTTTCTGCTTCTGAGAACATGTTGTAATTTTCAAACTAACCTGTATTTACTGTCATAATTGTTAAATTAGACTACTAAGATGATATGTTTATTAGCACACACTGTATACTTGTTTAAAAAATGAAACTGAAAATAAACACTACAAACTGTGAAATTATGGGAGATGTTTTCCTTTAATTTCCAAGTTTTCTGTAATAGTTATATCACTCTTGTAATTTAACAAAAAAAGCATTAAAACTTTTTATACCATTTATATATCAGGATTTTTAAAATAAAGTCCCTACTTAAGGGCTTTTTTATTACTTAAAAAAAAAAAAAAAAAGAATCTGACCACATAGGGAGTCCCTGTCTCTACAAAAAAATTTTAAAAATTAGCTGGGCATGGCGATGTATGTTTGTAGTCCCAGCTACTCAGGAGGCTGAAATGGGAGGATCCCTTGAGCCTCATTCTGCCTCCTCAACACAGGTTGCAGGATGCAGTGAGCCAGATCATGCCACTGTACTCCAGCCTGGGTGACAAAGTGTGATCCTGTCTCAAAAAAAAAAAAAAAATCCTTGCTAAACTAAAGCAAGAAAACCAGTATAAAGCTGAATAGCTAAAAGACTATTTTAAATATTCAAATCCTATCTCAGTAAAATAAAACCTTTATCATCAATAGCACTAACTTTGAACACACAATTGTATCATCAAGATACTATTAAAGGCACTAGAGATTCAGGGGCAAAAACCATGTCTTATATCCTCAAGAGGCTTACTACTTAAGACAATGGCATATGCTGACAAAAAAGAATAAAAAATACAAGGGAGCGTTGGATATGCCAAGCATATAGTACATAGAGAAGTACAGTGAAATAGACAGCTTTTGAAGTCCTATAGACCTTGGTTCAAATCTTAGATCCACCACTTACTAGCTTACTTACTAGCTCCTCCAATTTGTAAAACATATTGTTAGATTCTAAGTGTAGTAAAATTCCTGGCATATAGTAATACCCAAAGGGAAGTTAACAGTATTATTATTACTAGGGATACGGGCATTAGGGAGTAAAATTGACTATTGGAAATGTTTTTTAGAAGTATTACATGCTTTTTTTCTAATCTAACAACAGAAGCAAAAATCAAGATCATTCTCCTTCAGGTTTTACTTCTCACTGACAAGAAGTAAACAGAACAACTAGAAAAGACAACTGAATTAGAAAACATTAAGGCTGTAAAGCACTAAAGAACCCAGAGAAAGTCCACTAGGTCTATAAATCATAGAATACTGTCTATAAAACGGATCTTAAGAGTTGGAAAGGTCCTGCCGGGCGAGGTGGCTCACGCCTGTAATCCCAGCACTTTGGGAGGCCGAGGCGGGCGGATCACAAGGTCAGGAGATCGAGACCACGGTGAAACCCCGTCTCTACTAAAAATACAAAAAAAATTAGCCGGGCGCGGTTGTGGGCGCCTGTAGTCCCAGCTACTCGGGAGGCTGAGGCAGGAGAATGGCGTGAACCCGGGAGGTGGAGCTTGCAGTGAGCCGAGATCGCGCCACTGCACTCCAGCCTGGGCGACAGAGCGAGACTCCGTCTCAAAAAAAAAAAAAAAAAAAAAAAAAAAAAAAAAAAAAGTAAAGAGTTGGAAAGGTCCTTAGATCAACTAATTCAAACTACTCTAGTAGAAATAAGTTCCAGGTTTTGTCTCCAAGGTCAAAGAATTGTTAACTACTTTTGTTCATGAGTATATATATCCTCAGTACCTAGAGTAATTCCTAGCACACAGTAAATGCTCAGCAAATATTTGTTGAGTCTATTTTAAAGTTAAGAAAACTGAGGCCTGGATATTTAACCCAAACCCATACAGTTAGCTGTTGCCAAAGCAGAACTGGAACTAACATTTTGGTACTCTAGTATTCTATCATCTCTAGAAGCAAGAATATAATAATTTAGGTAATTTATTCTGGTGGCTGGGGAGTTGAAGGGTTGGTTGGCAAGCTTGGAAAAAGGAAGGAAGGAAGGCATAAGCTAAAACATTTTTCACATTTTTTCCCCAAACTCAGTTTTGCTTAATTGGTTAAGGCAAGAAATTATAAACAAGATAATCCCAGTATAGTGTCTAGTACATAATAGGTACTTTAAAAATATTTGCTGTATGAAAATCACCATCATATGAACAGAAGCAGAAACTAACTTGAGCATGTTTAATCTCCATAACTGTTACAGAACCCTTTAGAGCTTTCAGTCATTCCTACAACAGTTATTAATTACTTTCTTCCAGCTAGGTACTATGGGAGAAGATGGATTAAAAGATGTCCCTGCCCTGAATGATCTCTCACTTGAATATACCTATGTCTAAATGTGTGTGCTGGGAGGGTGGGCGGGGTGGGGGGGGAACAGAGGATGACAAACGGGTCAATAATGAATGTGAAACCAAGCTGCATTGTTACTTAGTGTATTGGGCTCAGGCAGTTATAAAAAATTAAAATTAAATTTAAAAACCACAAATCTGCAAAGTTTTGAAATAATAAGGAGGCACACTGGGGTATACTAGCGACTAGAAATGTTTTTTTTTTTTTCTGTGCCTTCGTAATTCCTCTTATTGCCTCTTCATGTTTTAAAATCAGAATATTCTGAATTTACTTATTTGAATTATCAATAAAAATTAACCACCAATGTATATTCTCTCATGTGTGAGGCACTGAAGGATAATAGCTACTACTGACTCCGTTCTTACTGTGTACACATTAATACCTAAATATATAACCCAAGAACATATGTAAATTTTTTAAATGGCTATAAAACTGACAGAGCCTGAAGCAATTCTCCAGAGATGAATGATAGTAAATAGAAGCTAAAAACATGGTATTACCCAGGGAGAGAATAAAGTATGTACACAACTGAGATGCAATTTTACGGAAGTCTTCAAGAGCACAAAACCTTCAAGAAGGCAAAACTCCTGCCAGAATTGGCCAACAGAGCCAGAAAACAACAGCCTGCCAACAGGGATCTTGTTTAATGCAAGTCACTAACTACACTCTCAGAAAGTGAATACCTAAAAGTCAGTGCTGTTGTTGTTCAAATTGGAGTTTTGGGAGGACCCTTCCAAACATACATAACCAAGATTAAACCACCACATTCCATGTTAAAGGGTTCTTCCCCCCCTTGTTATCTGCTTGGCAGGACAGGACAAACACCACCACCACCAAATAAACTGGGAAACAGACTTCCCTTATGACACCTAGAATTCTGCAAACACGAGTTAGTTATTTTACATGAAGCATGTACGTGACTCTCGGTTTGAGAAAACATTTTTTTCTCTCTATCCTAGTGCTAGGCAAAGCACCCCAAAGCCTCTTGATTTTAAACACAGAAAACTGCACTGCCGAAATGTTTGCCCCTATCCCAGCGCTAAAGCCTTAGAAGCACCGACGAATCTAGGCCAAGGAGAGTACAAGATGGCAGGGAGATACCACAATGCAGGCAAGAAAGACGGGGTGGGCCCCAATCGGGAAGCACGCGCCACCAGCCCTGGAGAGAACCTTCTGAGAAGGAGACGTGGGGGCGAGTTTGGGTCAGAGCAGCAGGAAAGGGCTGTCAGGTGTCTGTCACTTTATCATCCCGGACACCATGTTTACATTGTAATTGGCTTCTTTACAGAGAGGGAGGGACCAGGTTCCCAGCGTGAGTGATGTTTAGAGGTTTTCTGAGAAGCACAAGGACTGGACTTTGACAGGAAGCAACGAGGCAAGAGGGAAGCTCGACAACACGTTTTGCTGAGGATTCCCCCAGGAGAAGTGCTCCCCGGGCGGCCGTTCCTGGCACCAAGACTGGCGGAGCCACCACACCCATTAAAGGGATCCACTGGGACAGCGATCAGGCGGGAACCCCCGAGGGGAAGTGGAAGTGGAAGTGGAAGCAGACGTGGGTAGGAAAGGCGGCATCGGGGGTCTGACCCAGAAGGAAACCTGATGAGGAGGGAGAGAGGCTGAACGGAGGAAGGGGCTGGCAAAGTAGGTAGTTGAGTAGGATGAGACTTCTTTGGAGGCGAAGCTAACTACATTAAATTGCTGGGGAGGGTTTCCGTCGGACTCTGGGGGAAAGGCAGGTCTGGAGAGGAAAGACTGGCTTGGGGGACCTGGGCGTCCGGCTCTGGAAGGCAACTCCAACTGGGGGCGGCGCGCAGCCGGCCCAGCGAGCAAGCCTCGTGCGGCCCGGGGGTGCGGCCGGCCCGCGCGAGCTCAACAGGAGCTCACCTGGGGTGCGTGCGGCCCGGTGGGAGGAAACTTCCTGGGTGGGTGAAAGCTGCCCCCCGCGAACCAGCCCGGCACCGGCAGAGCGCGGCCGGGTCATAGTCCACTCGGCGGCGGCGCGGAGGGCGGCGGCGCAGAGGGTGGCGAGGGCCGCGCGGGACGGAGCAGGGGGCGCCCGACGACCCTGGGCGAGGTCGCGGCGGCCGCAGCGGGGCTCCGGCTCCGGAGGGCGCCTCCCGCAGTCGCACCCGCTTTCCCTCACACACACCGGCCGCCCGGCCCACAAGCCGAGAAGCTGCCCGGGTCGACGAAGCTGAGGGCGGTGGGGGAGGGGGCACCGGCCGGCCGAGCCCAGCGGACGGGCGTGTGGCGTTACCTGTGTCAGAGAAAGCTGGGCCGCCGCAGCCATGGTGTTTCCATCATGCAAGGGAAGGGAAGGAAGGACCGGCTGACTGGGGCTCGGGGCGGGGAGGAGGCGGAGGGAGCGGCCGTAGGCGAGGCCGGGGCGGGCGGGCGGGCGTCTCCCCTAACTTCCACAACTTCCCTCCTCACGCCCGCCCCGCCCCGCCTGGCCCCGCCCGCCTGCCCGCCCGCCGGAGCAGGCTGCGGCGCCGCCCAAACCCTGGCACCGGAGTTTCAGCTGCTGGACCAGAGCCTGCCCCGGGGTCGCCTGGGAAAACCCGGGGCGGACATAAAATTAAAGCGGACGGGCTGCGGAGGCGACTCCAGATTGGCCTGTGAACTTCAGACAGGCCACCTACCTACGCTGAGCTCCTGCTTCTGAAAAATGGAGGAAATTATAACCAGAGGCCAAGTTGGTTACAAGGACTAAATGAGATAATGATAGAAAATAATAATGGCACTTTATATATGCCAGGCTCTGTACTAGACTCTTATTTTTTGAATTGTATGAATGAAGGAACTGAAACACAAGTGTCTTACTAAGGTCATATAGCTAATTATATAGCTGAATTAGGATCCAAATCTGACTGTAAAACCTTTATTTAACCATCTGCTAGTATATTGAAAAAGACATTAAGTCATTCCTTCCCACAGCCAAAATCCATTTGGAAAGGGGAAGCAAAAATGTATTTGCCCGGTGCCTGTCACACTTAGATTGTTTAACAAGGGAACGCTGGTGCCTGTAGCGCTCCTAGCTTCTCTCATTGTCCACTTGGCAAACTCCTCCTTTCTCAGGGCATAATTCAAGTATTACTTCCTTTGCAAAGTATCTTTTTCTCCTCCTCATGTCAAAGTTACACACTCTCCTTTATAAGCTTTCTTCTCTACCTTGTGAAGTCATCACCCTAATGACAGTTTACACCTATCTATCCCTCTAGATTAAGAGCTCCTCAATGGCAAGAACTGTTTTCAATGTATTTCTATATCGTCAGACCCTAGCATTACAGTACGTGCTCAGTAAAGGCCTTCGTTCCTGCCTATATTAAACATAACACATCCTACACCTTCTGATGCTGCCAGTCTTCAGTTGGAATACCCAGTTACTTGAAATTCATCTTCAAAGGCTCAGAGTATATACCACCTACTTCAAGACGCCTTCTAGGAACTCCACACCCCACCTCTAAGTTGTTCTGATGCAACCTTTTTTATACTCTGCCTTATTTGTAAGCGTTAGTTGAGGGCTTGTCTCCACCTCACTGCACTGTAAAATCCTTGAGGACAAGGGGCTGACTCACTACTATCTCTCCCTCATAGTTGAGCCTACCACAGAGACCTCAATAAATGTATTTGCCCGAATTGGTCTAAATTTCTTAGTTACGTTGGCTTCCCATGACAACAAACCACAACTCTATCAGGCCTACGCCCATTACCATTATCATAGCAGTCCCCGTAGTAGGAGGGACAACTGAACAAGACCCAGGATGGAGTTAGCCCCACCTAAGTTTTTAGACTATTGGCGCCACAAGCAAACCATTCCAGAAATTTCCCCAGGAACTCCTAATTATACTCAGACCCCTTCTGGCAAAGGCCAGCTAACAAAAGCAAGCCGTATAGGTCTGGTGAGTAACCACTTATTCAAGAGCATCTTCCTTGGCTTCTTTTTTGCTGTTAATCTCTTTAACTGAAGAAAGAATAAGAGATACTGTTTTACATTACTTCACTTTGGTACATTTATCAGCCATAACCACAACCGATGTTTCTACTGGTGTTTTCTACTTTATATTAGCACATTTGAGCTTCACAATTCTAAAAGGAAATAATCATCATACTCACTTTACAAATGAGGTCATGCAGGGTCACAGAGGCTTAGTGATTTGCGCAAGGTTATACAACTAATAGCCAAAGACACATAGTATAGTTAAATAAATAGGGCTCAGACATTAGGAATATCCAGGTTCCAGTCCTGGCTCTCCCATTCACTAGTTGTGTACCCTTAGGGTTGTTGTGAGGATGAATGAAATAACGTATACGAAAGTGCCTAAACTTGTAGCTACACAAATTATGAAATCTGAAAATCATGGAGCAAATTGCTTTGGGGAGTATAATTTCACTTGCTATTCAAGGAGACTCCTCCAAACCATGTGAGATGTAAGATATTCCTCTCAGATAAATAAGGTGGAATCCCTGCTGTATAATTTCCTGGAAAGGCAGTGGGAGTAGCGAAGAGAATATTAAGAATCACTTAGAGTGTGACCTCAGGCAAACCATTTAACCTCTCTGAGCTTCAGTTTCTCATATATGAGCTTCAGTTTCTCATATAGGAAATGTAAGGAATTATTACTGTTATAACTCTTATATGATTTATATTAAGTCAAAAGTCACACCTTATCCAGGCATGGTGGCACATGCCTATAGTCCCAGCTACACAGGAGACTGAGGCAGTTGCACAGAGCACAAATTCAGCCTGGGCAACACAGAGAGACCCCATCTCAAATAAATAATACCTTGTATGTATACAGTATTACTTTTCACAGTTTATAAATGTTTTATTTTTATTTCTTTTTTTTTTTTGAGACAAGGTCTCACTCTGTCACCCAGGCTGGAATGCAACAGCGCAATCTCGGCTCACTGCAACCTCCGCCTCCTGGGTTCAAGCGATTCTTGTACCTCAGCCTCATGAGTAGCTGGGATTACAGGCACCCGCCACTACACTAGCTTATATATATATATATATATATATATATATATTTTTTTTTTTTTTTTTTCCTTGTAGAGATGGGGTTTCACCATGTTAGCCAGGCTGGTCTCGAACTCCTCACCTCAAGTGATCTGCCTGCCTCGGCTTCCCAAAGCACTGGGATTACAGGCGTGAGCCACCGCACCCGGCCAGGTGTTTTTATTTATAGACTCTAGCACAACTTCTAATGTTCAGTAAGTACATTATAAAAGTTTGTTGAATTGAACTGAATACAATCTCATATATAATTGTTATTTGGATCTTCACTTTATCCCCATAAGAAAATCAAGGAACAACTATTTTATAAATAACTTCTATAAGTAAGAGCGTTGACAGCAGGCGTGGGTCTTGATTAACAAAAAATAGAAAGAATCAGATGCCCCAGCAAGGGAAAACTCCCTTAAAATCTTTATAGGGGTATTGCCCCACATCCCCCTCCAGACTACCAATAATTTGTAGTGGCTTCTTTCCTCATTCGTAGGTTCTGGTTTAAATTAATGACATGTAATGGGGGATGGGAGCATGTCTATAGGGAAGAGAGTAGGCCAAACTCCCAAAAAAGGCCTAGAACTTCTGAGAGAGGTTTTTTTTTTTTTAAATGACAAACCAATGACAATTTGCAAATGTGTGTCCCAGATCTCATCAGAGCACTGGGTCATATCCCAAATCTATTTTAGGAGAGGAAAATGTAGCAATCGAATATATGTTATAATCTAACTCATTATAACAAGAATGAGCTGCATGGAGCAGACAAGAAGAATTTATCTGTTTTTTTCTAGGACAACTTAACGTCTCTGGGTCACTAAGCCTCATTTTCCTCATTATAACATTGAAGGTAGTAATATCTACTTTATATGGATGGTTTAAGGATTAGAGCTCATGTATAATGGCCTATCAAAGGGACTGGCCTGGACTAGATGTTCAATAAGTAGTAGCTATAGATACCATTCTTCAAGATCACTATTTAACTCTCCACCCTTCAGGCAACCCTCCAACAATTAAGTTGGTTTGACAGATATATTAGTTACATAAATAGGGGTGCCAGACCAGACCAGGTGGCTCACACCTGTAATTCTAGCACTCTGGAAGGCCGAGGCAGGAGGATTCCATGAGCCCAGGAGTTCAAGACCAGCCTGGGCAACATAGTGAGACCTCGTCTCTCTTTTTTTTTTTTTTTTTAACCAATCAAATAAAAATAAATAAATAAATAAGAATGGGGGTGCTTTGAACAACTGACATATCCCAGTCATTGAAAAAGTAGATGTTCCCTAGGTAAATAAAGTTGTATCTGATGACTTAAATCTGAATACTAATAGACAACAATTGCTGTTTTCTTTTTATTTATTTATTTATTTATTTATTTATTTAATTTGAGACAGTGTCTTGCTGTGTTGCCCAGGCTGGTCTTCAATTCCTGGGCTCAAGCCATCCTCCTGCCTTGGCCTCCCAAAGTGCTGGGATTATAGGTGTGAGCCACTGCACCCAGGCAAATTGCTGTTTTAATGTGCATTATTTCATTTATTCCTCAAAACAGCTCTACAAGGGTTATTTTTAATCTTTTTTTAACAGAAGAGGAATTTGTCCAAATTCATAATGACAACGCTGGGAATTATACACAGGTCTTCTGACTCAAATGCGCTTTTTCCTAGGGTGTGTTGCTGGTGTCCTGCAGATATTAATCACCACCCAAGAAAACTTGTTAAAATGGTGCCTTGAACATGGGAAGCTGAAGATGAGGCTCTGGATTTACGATAAACCTAAACCCAGGATGAGCCTAAAGAGGAGACCTTAAATCATAAACAGCTTTGTCACCAACCATCTTTCTATCCTACTCTAACTCCAACCCCCCTCCCCAATCCATCCTTAAAGGAAATCAAGACTATTTTTATTTTTCTTATTTTCCAGCTTTTAGAGGCAACTGTCATATCAATGCTTCATGAACACTGTGTTTCTGTAATATCAGCATCTAGAAAGTTCAGAAATGTGAGGTGATAGAGACTATGAAAAAAAAAAAATGAGGAACTCTCCAAATACACAAAGAGACAGTTGATTTGCATGAGACTTTGAGAGATGGGCTTTCCATATAGATGGTGCTAAACTATATTTTAAAATCTTACTACAATTCTTATGGTAATCTGAAGCTCATCCTTCTAAGCTGCTGGTTTCATAAATATAGTCCATCATTGTTCGCGTTTGCACAGGGCAGAAAGAATATGTGAGGCGGCACAATAACAACAATTGTGCTACGCAAATAACCATCCCTGTGCCAGGGACTGAGCCATGAAAATAACAAGCAGTAAGAGATTTGTAAATGCCACACACATGCAGGGTGTGATAGGACAGTTCAAAATTGTCATCATTGCTAACTTTTCAGGGCAATGGGATGCCCTGGGAAGAACTTGAGTTTAGGACTGGGAAGGCCCAGGTTGGTCCGGTTTTGGTCCTGCAGGTTCTTTGTTTGGTGACTTTGCAGAAGTCAGGAACTATACCAAGTCGTGGTTTTCTCTCCTGTAAACTGAAAGTAATAATAATACCTACCTGCTCATGCCATTACAATGATTAAATGAAGGTTCATGTGAAGGCCTGGCACACAGCAGAAACTAGATAAGCATTAGCTCCTTTTTCTTCCTACTGGAGAACATGTAGGGTTTAAGTAACCAGAGCATAAAAATAGAAAATATTTTTAAAGATTTCCAGTGGCCTTCCAAAGCCCACTTAATGGTTTTTTAAATACCATTTATTTAATCCATTTGTAATATTTATTGAGTACTATACAGTAAGAGAGGTTATTATACTTATGTCCCCAAAGGCCATTGGCTTCTAGTGAGAAAGCAAACACTGTTTTGCCCTTGCCCTATGTCCTTCCTTTCCTCTCTGTCCTTTATGAAGAGTCCTGGAAGCCTTAAGAAACAAAAAGGAACACCACAGGAAAGAAACCTTGCACTCATGGCTGCAGGGTCTTTCATCTACAGGTTTCAAAGCATTTTCTCCGTAGGTAATTACTAGCCCTGCTTACCATGTGTGAATGCTGAGACACCATCAAATTAAGAAGCTTGCCCTAAATCACAAGGCAAGTCAGAGGATGGGCTACAGACAGAACAAAGCTGTCCTGTTTGCCAGACTTGGGCTCTAAAGTAGGGCACATGAGAGTCAACAGAAGACTTCAAGTGACGAGGAAAAAGGTTTGAGGAATTCTGATTCCGAATCAGTGCAATAACAAGAGCATGGGCTTCAGAGTCAAATTTGGTTTCAAATCTCAGCTCAGCCCCATTTGACTGGCTGCCTGACCTTTGTCAAATCATAAACTAAGTCTAGTTTCCCTTTTTGTGAAATGAGAATATTCTTACTTCTAAGGGTTTCGGGGAAAGTTAAATTATGTAACTAGTGTGAGAGAGCCTGGTTCAGTATCTGTCACTTAGCAGGTGCTGATAATGTTGGTTTATGTCATTGCGAAAAGTTAATATATCTCCCCCACAAACACAAAATAGCAAATAGACAACTCTTTCAGTCAAAGATTTTCAAAGCCATAATCACAGTTGTGTCTCAGTTTAAACCCATGACATCTCACATTATAGCACAAATAGAGGATGCCTTGTTCAGGCCTTCATCACTTTTCTTCCTTGATTCTGTGCTTTCTCTCATAGCCCGAGTCCAATCTACCAGCAAGTTCTGTCGGCTCAATCTCCAATATATATCCAAAATCCTAATTTCCAGGTCTGACCACTTTTTACTATCTCCACTACCATGGCCTTTCTCTTGGACCACTGCTAAAGTTTCTTTTTTTTTTTTCTTTTTTTTTTTTTTTTGAGACGGAGTCTCGCTCTGTCGCCCAGGCTGGAGTGCAGTGGCTGGATCTCAGCTCACTGCAAGCTCCGCCTGCCGGGTTTACGCCATTCTCCTGCCTCAGCCTCCCGAGTAGCTGGGACTACATTAGGTGGGACTACAGGCGCCCGCCACCTCGCCCAGCTAGTTTTTTGTATTTCTTAGTAGAGACAGGGTTTCACCGTGTTAGCCAGGATGGTCTCGATCTCCTGACCTCGTGATCCACCCGTCTCGGCCTCCCAAAGTGCTAGGATTACAGGCTTGAGCCACCGCGCCCGGCCAAGTTTCTTAACCAATATCCCCACTTCCATGATTTTGCCTATGTTCATTCTCCATATCATAAACTGAATAATCTATTTTTATTTACATCACCCAGGCTGCAGTGCAGTGGGACGATCATGGCTCACTGCAGTTTTGAACTCCTGGGCTTAAGCAATCCTCTTGCCTCAGCTTGAATGATCTTTTTTTTCTTTTTATGAGATAGCATCTCACTCTGTCAGCGAGACTGGAGTGCACTGGTTCAATTTCAGCTCACAGCAGCCTCCATCTCCCAGGCTCAGTTGATCCTCCTACCTCAGCCTCCAGAGTAACTGGGACTACAGGTTCACACCACCACACCCAGCTAATTTTTGTATTTTTGTAGAGACAGGGTTTTGCCGCATTGCCCAGGCTGGTCTTAAACTCTTAGACTTACGTAATCCACTTGTCTTGGCCTCCCAAAGTGCTGGGATTACAGGGGTGAACCACTGCACTCTGCCTGAATGACCTTTCTAAAACATAAACCAGATCTTATTATTTTCCTGGTTAAAACCCTACAGAGACTTCTCATCAAGCACCTGAACATGGCCTACCGTGGGTAAAATATGTGTCATCTAAGCCCAGAAGAGCAAGATGTTTGGTGAAATGGAGCATGGTAGAGATGAGAGAGAGGAACTAGCAGAGAAAGGTGGAAGGGGTGTTAGAAAATACCCAGAGGGACTCATGACTGGACTATAAGAGGTTGAGAGAAATGTTTCTTTCTGGAGATTCTTTTTTTTGTAAAATGAGGATATTCTTACTTCTGAGGATTTTGGGGAAAGTTAAATGATACAACTGGTGTGAGAGAGCCTAGTTCAACATCTGTCATTTAGCAGGTGGTGGTAATGTTGGTTTATGTCACTGGGGAAAGTAGCTCAAGAGATTCCCAAAACTAGCTCAAGAGATTCATAATCACCACTGGAAGCAAAGGAGATTCTTATTGTTTTCTGTTGATGGCATTTTAAAATCTAGTGGCCTGGATTTTTTTTTAAGCACCCAATCAGGAATCTATTTTATCCTTTTTTATTATTTATTTATTTTTACTTTTATTTTTATTTTTGAGTCTCACTCTGTCACCAGACTGGAGTGCAGTGGCACCATCTCAGCTCACTGCAACCTCTGCCTCTCAGGTTCAAGCGATTCTCTTGCCTACTCAGCCTCCTGAGTAGCTGGGATTAGAAGCACGCGCCACCACACCTGGCTAATTTTTGTATTTTTAGTAGAGACGGGGTTTTGCCAAGTTGGCCAGGATAGTCTTGATCTCCTGACCTCGTGATCTGCCCACCTCGGCCTCCCAAAGTGCTGGGATTACAGGCATGAGCCACCACACCTGGCCTATTTACCCTTTTAAAAGTAAGAATTATACACTAAGAGCCCTAACATCAGGACAATGGTTAAGATGGACTTTGGAATCAAATTTGACATTGAATCAAGGTCCTCCACTTACAAGCTACAACACCATGGTCAAGTTATTAAAACTCTTTGACCCTCAGTTTCATGCAGACTACCATACAGAATGAGTAAAAGAATTAAATAGACAATGATTATAAAGCACTTTGCATAGTATCTGAGACATGGGGAGTAAGTGCTCAACAAATGGGGACTATCCAATGATGATGGTGATGATGAGGATGATGACGATGATTAAGAATTGGGTTATCTTTTTAAAAAAAATGTTTTTAGATACAGGGAGTCACTCTGTCACCCAGGATGGAGTGCAGTGGTGCAATCATAGCTCACTGTAGACTCAAACTCCTGGGCTCAGGTAATTTCCCACCTCAGCATCCCAAGCAGCTGGGACTACAGACACATGTTCCCATACCTGGATAATATTTTTATTTTTTATAGAGACTGGGTCTCACTAAGTTACCTAGGCTGGTCTTGAACTCCTGGGCTCAAGCAATCCTCCTGTCTCAGTCCTCCCAAAGTGCTGGGATTACAGACATGAGTCACTGCCTGGGTGCCTGGGTGCCTGCCTAGGGTGAGATTTAAATTGGCCTTGTAAGCGAATAAAAAGTGAAGTCTATTCTGAGGGCAATGTGGAGTCATTGAAAGGTTCCCAGGAAGGAAAATAAAAATCCAAAATCATGTTATAGAAAGGTAACTCAGCCGGGCACAGTGGCTCATGCCTGTAGTTCTAGCACTTTGGGAGACTGAGGCGGGCAGATCACTTGAGGTGAGGAGTTCGAGACCAGCCTGGTCAACATGGCAAAACTCCATTTCTACTAAAAATACAAAAAAAAAAAAAAAAAAAAATTTGCCAGGTGCTGTGGTGCACGACTGTATGCCCAGCTACTCGGGAGGCTGAGGCACGAGAATCTCTTGAACCTACGAGGCAGAGGCTGCAGTAAGCCAAGATCATGCCTCTGAACTCTAGCCTGGGGGTGACAGAGCAAGACTCTGTCTCAAAAACAAAAACAAGAAAGGTAACTCTATTCAGCATTACACTGGAGTTTCCAGCCAGGGCAATTAGGCAAGAAAAAAATAAAAAGCATCCTTATTGAAAAAGAAGTAAAACAATATTTGCAGATGAGATGATCTTGTATATATAGAAAATCCTAAAGAAAGAAAAATCTATTGGAATAAATGAGTTCAGCGAAGTTGCAAGATACATTAATATAGAAAAATCAATTATATTTTTATACACTAGCAATGAATAATCTGAAAATGATAGCCAGGTATGGTGGCTCATGCCTGTAAGTCCCAGCTACTTGGGAGGCTGAGGCAGGAGAATTGCTTGAGCCCAGGAGGTAGAGGTTGCAGTGAGCTGAGATCCCGCCACTGCGCTCAAGACTGGGTGACAGAGTGAGACTCTATCTCGAGGGAGAAAAAAACTGAAAATGAAATTAAAAAATCAGTTCTGGCCTGGCACAGTGGCTCACCTCTGTAACCCCAGCACTTTGGGAGGTCAAGGTGGGTGGATCGCTTGAGGTCAGAGTTTGAGACCAGCCTGGGCTACATGGTGAAACCCTGTCTCTACAAAAAAAAATGCAAAAATTAGCCGGGCATGGTGGTGTGCACCCATGGTCCCAGTTCCTCAGGGGGCTGAGGTGGGACAACCACTTCAGCTCTCCCGGGCAGAGGTTATAGTGACCCCAGATCACGCCACTGCACTCCAGCCTGGGTGACAGAACCAGACTGTCTCAAAAATAAAGAATAAAAAATATCAATTCCATTTACAATAACATCAAAAAGAAAAATACTTAAGAATAAATTTAATAGAAATACAAGATTTGCAAATAAAAACTGCAAAATATTGGCCAGGCGCGGTAGCTCATGCCTGTAATCCCAGTACTTTGGGAGGCTGAGGTGGGTGGATCACGAGGTCAGGAGATGGTGACCATCCTGGCTAACATGGTGAAACCTCGTCTCTGCCAAAAATACAAAAAATTAGCCAGGCGTGGTGGTGCGTGCCTGTAGTCCCAGCTACTCGGGAGGCTGAGGCAGGAGAATGGCGTTAACCCGGGAGGCAGAGCTTTCAGTGGGCCGAGATCACGCCACTGTACTCCAGACTGGGCGACAGAGCGAGACTCCGTCTCAAAAAAAAAAAAAAAACTCTAAGAAGAAAGCATAGATGTAAATCATCTTTATTAGATTAGGCAATGATTTCTTAGATATAACACCTTAAAGCACAAGCAACAAAAGAAAAATTAGATAAAATGGATGTCATCAAAACTTCTGTACTTTGAAGGACACTGTCAAGAAAGTGAAAAGACAATCCAAAGAATGGGAGAAAATATTTACAAATCAAATATCTGACAAGTGAATTCTAACGAGAATATATAAAGAACCCTTACAACTCAACAATAAAAAGACAAATAAACCAGGCATGGTGGCTCACACCTGTAATCCCAGCACTTTGGGAGGCTGAGGTGGGAGGATTCCTTGAAACCCAGGAGTTCAAGACCAGCCTGAACAACATATCAAGACCCTGTCTCTAAAAAAAAAAAAAAAAAAAAAAAAATTAGCCAGGCGTGGTGAGCCCAAGAGTTTGAGGCTGCAGTGAGCTATGATTGCATCATTGCACTCCACCTGAGTGACAGACTGAGACCCTGCCTGTAAAAAAAATTAAAATTATGGCCTGGTGCAGTGGCTGACACCTGTAATCCCAGCACTTTGGGAGGCCAAAGCAGGTGGATCACTTGAGGTCAGTTTGAGACCAGCCTGGCCAACATGGTGAAACCCTGCCTCTACTAAAAATATCAAAATGCCT